TGTAAATATTGTCATCAGAGATGGGATAGAGCTTATCCTAGTAGATTGGAAATTCATCTAGCAAATCAATGTATTGAAGTTGAGCATGAAGTTAGAAAAAAATTTTTGGAAATTGTAACAAGAAAAAATAATGTAATTGAACTAGATGATAATAAAACAAAAAAATCAAAAAATTCTAATACACAAAAAAGCATGGAAGAGTATTTTGATAATATGAAACTTTCTGAACAAAAAAAAAATCTAATTGATAAGTCTTTAGCAAAATTTGTTTCCTGTTGTGGTATACAACTTGGTGTTGTAGAAAATCCTTTCTCCATTGATTTTGTTAAAAACCTTAAACCATCTTATGATTTACCATCAAGAATTAAATTAAAAGAGACTTTGATTGAGGAAGAAGTTGTTATCATTAATGTAAAAATCACAAATGAATTGGAAAAACTAACAACTTAGCACTTAGTGAGTAATTGATAACTGAATTTTGGCTTAATTTCAAATTATAATTTATTTATATAGTGGATTTTTGAATACATAGTTTTATTTATTTATATGATTACAATTATATTTTTTAAAGCCATAGATGATTGGACAAACCCATTAGGAAAATCAATTTATAACTTTGTTATTCAAACACCTACAAAAAAGAATATCTATGGAAGTTAAATGATTATTCACTGGAATCCCATACAGGAAACTTTTTAGCTGAACAGATTGATCAAGTTATTCAACAAATTGGAAATAAAAGATTTGGCGCTATTGTTACTGATGGGCTGCTAACATTAAACTTGCCAGAGAAATTATAACCACCAAATATCCTCATATTATGAATCTCAGGTGCAATTAACCTACTTACAAAAGATATAGCAGATAGCAAAATAAAATTTCCTTGGGGATATAATATATTAAAAAATTGCCAAAAGATTGTTCCTTTTTTTGAAAAATCACACCAATCCAATGCTTTATTACATGAAGGGATTAAGAATTTAAATATTCTAGGCGTTAGATTAAAATCAGGATGTAAATTTAGGTGGTCAACTTATAATGATTGTACTTCATCCATTTTAAGATTGGAAAGTTGTTTTAATTGGGTAATATATAAATTTTTTGACCAACACTATTTAGCAGCTTGGCCATTTGAATGTAATGACAAACAATGGACCATATGAAGAGATTAATGGTGTTCATATGATATCTTACTTCATTAAATAATACAAAAATTAACTCTTTTAAGTTCAACTTTGCATTCTATTTAGATTTGGTAGGTACAAGTCTTGGAGCAATCACAACATCAAGAGCAATAGATTGTAAAAAGAAGCAGTCTAAATATTTTATCACTTGATAATAATATATTTATTATCTTACTATTGCAGCAAGAAATTACAATTGAGATTGATTCTGACTTGGAAACTGAATGCTTAATGACAAAATTATTGCAGCAGCTCAAGAAGCACCTGAAGAAGAGGAAAATATGGGACTACCGATATCTAATAAAATTGCTTTAGAAAGCATTCGAAATATATATAATTACTTGCAACAGAGTAGTGATATACAGTCAAGCCAGGTGAACAGAGAATTTTATTTAAAATCTGTTGTGGTAAGATTACTAATCTTGCCATAATGGATTTTTATATGTTTTTATATTTATATTGATATGTGAAGCAAAAATTTTAAAACCCATTATGACAAGAATTTAACTATTGTCCACTGTGGCAAGTCTGCTGTGATGAGGTTCAACTGTACAAGTAAATAATCAGGATTAAAAGATTTAAAATGAAAAATTGATAGAAAAAAATTAATTCTTTAACACAAACTAGTGTGGATATTTATTTAGATAAAGAATAGTGGTTTTTTTTTGTAAAGTTGCATATTTCAATAAGTTGGATTTCTTGATAAGTAAGACTACCATGCCCAGCCACTTATGTCCAACTCATTGAGTTTATCTATGTACTAAGGAGTTGATCACAGCCAGAAATATTATTACCAGGAATGGAATTTTTTAGCTTTAATAACATCTAAAAATTTCAAGACAAAATGTGATTTTTTTAATATAATGAACATGCATTTTTTCTATTTAAGTAAGATGCAAGTCTTAAAGAAATTTAATTAAAACAATTTACTTATAATTTTGGTGACTTGGCCGAGTTGGTCTAAGGCGCCGCACTCAAGTTGCGGTCTCGAAAGAGGCGTGAGTTCGAATCTCACAGTCACCATCATGTTCATAAGTATTTTTTTTTGTAACATTTTTTTTTTGTTATAAAAGAAATTGAATATGGTTTTAGCAGATCTTGGTCGACGAATTAATGCTGCTATAGCAAAAATTAATAAAGAACCTATCATTGATGCTAAAGTATTTAGCCTTTTTTATTTTATTTTTTACATTTAAATAAATTTATAAATAAAATTCATAAATATTAAAGATTCTGTTCACTGAAAGGTTCTTGATGCATTGTTAAAAGAAATATGTCATGCACTTTTAGAAGCCGATATAAACATTCGTTTGGTAGGTAATTTAAGGAATAATGTTAAAGACAATGTCAACATTCAAGAAGTACCTGCTGGAATAAATAAAAGGAAATTAATACAAAAGGTAAAGTATTTTTTTTCCTCTTAATTTTTCGATTCATTTTATCTAATTATAATTTTTGTTAGGCAGTGATTGATGAACTCTGTAAACTAGTTGATCCAGGTGTAGAACCATATAAACCTAAAAAAGGAACTACAAATATAATTATGTTTGTTGGTTTACAAGGAAGTGGTAAAACCACAACATGTACAAAAGTATGTAGAAATCATCTGACTCATATATAATAAATAGTCAACTAAATGTTTATTTATTTTAACTAAATATTATAAATTGATTAAATTCAACAATAAGTTGGCATATTATTATCAGCGTAAAGGATGGAAAGTATGTTTAGTTTGTGCTGACACTTTTCGTGCTGGTGCATTTGATCAATTAAAACAAAATGCTACTAAGGCAAAAATACCATATTACGGAAGGCAAAATCTTGTTCCATTTTTAATATTTATTATTGGTCTTTTTCCAAAACATTTTTTAATATAATTACAAAATCATTATCATATAATAGTTATACTGAAACAGACCCTGTCCAAATTGCTCATGAGGGTGTTGAAAAATTTAAGAAAGAAGGTTTTGAAATAATTATAGTAGATACATCTGGTAGACATAAACAGGAGGCTGAATTATTTGAGGAAATGAGACAAATATCTGTTGTTGTGGTAACTAATATTTTTATTACATTATATTGTAATATAATTAATTTAAAATATTTATAATATATGTGCATGTATATTTATAGAACCCAAATAATACAATTTTTGTAATGGATGGAACAATCGGACAAGCCGCTGAAGCTCAAGCTAAAGCTTTCCACGAAACAGTAGATATTGGTTCAATTATTATTACAAAAATGGATGGCCATGCAAAAGGTGGTGGTGCTATATCTGCGTATGTGTATATTATTTTATATTGTATGCTGTTCACTTATGTACATGGATATATTACTTTTTAAATATTAAATTTAATTATTGATAATAGTGTTGCAGCTACTCATAGCCCAGTTATTTTCATTGGTACTGGTGAACATATTCACGATTTAGAAAGATTTTCTGCAAGACCATTTATACAAAAAATGTTGGGTAATTACATAATATATATATATATATATATAAAATATAATATATAATAATTAATATATGCATTATTTTGTTAGGTATGGGTGATATATCTGCTTTAGTTGAAACAGTTCAAGACTTGAAATTAGATCAAAATAAAAATTTAATTAAAAACTTAGAACAAGGTAAATTTTGAATTTAAATTGAAATAAAATAGTTTAGTAATTAACTATTATCTATTATTGTTTTAAAATTAGGTATATTTACAATTAGAGATATGTATGAACAATTTCAAAATATATCCAAGATGGGTCCTTTATCTAAAATGATGCAAATGGTGCCTGGTATGTCTGAAATGAATCTCGAAGGCTCTGATGAACTTGGGGCTCAAAGAATAAAAAGGTATCAGAAAAAATTTTTTTTATAACAAGAAAGGATATTTATATCAAGAATACTTGGCCAGCTTGTTTACTAAATTCATAATTAATTAATAAAATAATAAAAAGATTAATGACAATTATGGATAGTATGAGTGAAACGGAATTAGATTCTGATGGCAAAATGTTTACACAACAACCTTCACGTATCATACGTATTGCAAAAGGCTCTGGTACCTCAGTAAGAGAAGTAGAGGAATTATTAGTTCAACATAAAGGTTTCCAAGGAATGGTTAAAAAATTTGGAGGAAACAAAGGTTTATTTAAAGGTGCTTTTTTATGTATAATCATTGAATCATTTATTATTCAAGTAAAATTATTTTTTTATTTCAAATTTTCCTTTTTTTAAAAAAGGAATGGGCCAAGGAATGGGCCCAGGAATGGATCCTTCAAAAATGTCACCACAACAAATTCAACAAAAAATGGCACAAATGCAACGGGTAAGAAAATTTATATTAAACAGATGTGCATTTTTCTTATCTAACTAATATTTATATATTTTTGATGTTTAAAGATGCTTCCACGTGGTATGGCTGGCATGAATATGAACAATTTAATGCGACAGATGGTAAATAATATTTATAATAATATTGTAATATGTTTAAATGATAAATATATTTATATTTATATTTATGTTTAGGGATTAAATTCTAAATTTGGATTATAACAAATATATTAGAAACTTTTATAATGTTTGTTTATAAAATATTTATTAATAAAATTCTGGGACTCTTCATATTATTTTACCATTATTAAAGGTTATATGATATAATATTTATATTTGTGCGATTAACCTGAAGTAGGGGTCGGAGAAGAATGTGATTTATAATGATTATTTTTGGTTTTTGTAAATGGACTTGTAATTTCATCTGAATTGTCTTTATTATTGTTGTTGATTCTGTTTTTGTTGTGAACACATACTCTTTTCTTTTAAACTTAATTGTCTCAATAAACCATTGAATTTACTTTTATTATTATTATCATTCTTGTTGCCATCTTTTAACAAACGGATTCTTCTTTTTGTAATAAAATTGAACAATAGTATTGTTGATGTTAAAATTGTCTTCTTATGACATTATTGAAAGCAAGCGTCTCAATATAAATCTATGACTATTTCTTTTTCTACTACCTAGCCTAAAACCTTACTACTAAAAATGTTAGTGTCGTTACTGTTGTTATTATTGTTATAATTGGGTCATCAACTTTTTAATACAATGTTATAAATAGCAAATTGATTAAAAGTCCCTAGAATAGAATCAAAACCTTAAAGTAGCAAACTAAGATTATCATCATTACTATTACCACTTTCAATTAATATTTCTCTCAGTGATGTCCTTTGAATTTTTCTAGTTCTTCAGGCTTTAATTCAAGAATATTTATTTTAAACATACTGTCTAAAATCACTGGAGTTTTATCATTTTCTATTACATAACCTGTTTTTGCTGTTGCTTGCTCATCAGATCTATAAATTATATAAATTTTATAGAAATTAATCTTTGTTTTTTTAATGTTAAAATCAATATGCAAAATAAATATATCTAAAGTATTAATAGACTCAATAATGTTGGTACTACAGCATTAGGGTTGTGTTGGTCTAGACCGATCTCGATCCCAAAAACTACATCCAAAGACTGGTCTTTTTTTGGAAAACCGAAGGACCAGTCTTTAGATGCAGTCTTTGGACAGACCATCCATAATTACTGGCATCATACTAAAATTCTTCCAGAAGAATTGATATTAACTCAACAATCCTCTCATAAAACATTAATGATCCAATGGTAGACCAGCCTTCTCAGGCAGTTAGTGCTCTTAATATTAAATAATCCGGAAGAAGAATTTTGTATTTGAAGTTCCTGATGAAGTAGTTGCAAAAATGTTTAAGCAGTATTTGCGAGCAATTATACTTACAATTAGAAATGAATGCTGATTATTATGCCAACAAATAATAAATGATAATAGATCTTGTCATAATTAACATGTCATACTAATATAAACATTAACCAGAGTTATAATTGTTACAGGTCCAATCTTTTATTTTATACACTTGGTCTTACTGTAATATGTTGCCTCCGCCGATCACATGCCATAAACAGATCGTCAATTAAAAAAAACCAGATCTAAAAAAATGTTTTATATAATTGGATTGGGATTATCAGACGAAACTGATATCACCATTAAAGGTCTTGAAGCAATTAAATCATGTGAAAGGATATATTTAGAAGCATACACTAGTGTTTTAATGGTTTCAAAAGAAAAATTGGTATAATCAATATACATATTATTATACATATTATTATGCACCTTTATCAAAAATTTTAAATTTTTAAATTTTCAATATAAAGGAAGAATTTTATGATAAGAAATTAATCCTTGCTGATAGGGAAATGGTAGAATCTCAAAGTGATAAAATTTTATCTAAAGCTGATAAAATAAATGTAGCATTTTTAGTTGTAGGAGATCCATTTGGGTAAGTGTTGACCACATTACAAGAATAATAAATCTATAAAATTAAATATTTGATTTCATATATATCAGTGCTACAACTCATACCGATTTAATTTTGCGTGCACGAGAACTTAAGATTCCTGTTAAAATTATACATAATGCATCAATAATGAATGCAATTGGGGCATGTGGATTACAACTTTATAATTTTGGTCAAACAGTTTCAATCCCTTTTTTTACTGAATCTTGGCATCCTGATAGTTTTTATGAACGCATTAAAGAAAATCGATCTTTAGGATTACATACTTTATGTTTGTTAGGTAATAAATCAATCAATCAATAAAATATATATATAAGTATATTTTAATCAATAAATATTGAAATATTATTTTTAAAGATATCAAGGTGAAAGAACAAAGTGATGAAAATTTAGTAAGGTGAATCAATTTTAATTAATTGGAGAATTATTTATTATTATTATTATTATTATTATTATTATTATTATTATTATTATTATTATTATTATTATTATTATTATTAAATTCTAAAATTATTTTCAACATTAGAGGTAATAAAATTTATGAACCACCACGTTATATGACAGTGAACCAAGCAATTCAACAATTATTAGAAATTGAAGAAATTCGACAAGAGAAAGGTAATAAGTCTAATTTATAATAATTATAATAATTTTCGACATAAACATTTCTAATTATAAATGCATATACATCAATTAGCTTATACAGGTGGAACAATAGGTATAGGAATTGCTTGTCTTGGTTCAATCACTGAACAAAAAATTATAGGAGGTACATTAATTCAATTGCTTGAGGAGGACTTTGGGCCTCCGTTACATTCGCTTGTTATAGTAGGGAGTAAACTCCATATACTAGAGGCTGATTATATGAGATATTTTGTTAAAGATAAAAAAAATTTTGATGAAATTGTAAAAAATCAAACTATTTAAATATGAATCAGAATCATCCATTAATTTATTAATTTAGATTTGATTCTAATTTAAATTTTTTTATCTATTAAATTGTTCAACTTTCTCTAGCCCAGTAATAATTTCATTATTTTTAAGTAGTTTCAAAGCCAATTTTGTAGAATTCAGCACACAATCATTCAAACTAACACCCCAATAACTAGCGCCACCAACACTTAATCTATTTTTTAATTTAGATTTTATCTCATAATGTAATTCTTTCATTCTATCATAGTGACCTACATAATATTGTGGTATGCAATTCCTTGCTAATTTAACCGAGTAATTAGTAGGTGTGTTGTAAATACCTAAATGATTTTCTAAAATTTCCAATGATTGATTTAATAATTCCTCCTCACTAAAAAGCTTTTGTTGATTATCAAAGTTATCATTATAATAATGACCACCCATCATTACAGTCAATTTTGTAAAGTTGTTGAATAGTTCATCCTGATATGGCATTGTGCATGAATCAAAAACCACCCCTAATACATTATGGAGATTGTTTTGTGTTGATTTTGGTATTAAATATCCAAATCCTTTTACAGGTAAAATATTAGGTTGATCATATGAAAAATTTACTATGGCTACTGATACTGATGGGTTATATTTAAGTTGCGAAAATTTATAGTCTTTTGGAAGTATATTATAAAGAATATTTGATGGAATGGTGCTAATAACATGATCAGAGCAGATGGATTCTTTATTTGTATGAACCTAAGGAAAAAAAGGAAACAAAAATAATAATTTCATGAATGAAAAAATTTACTCAAGTAAAATATATATATATAAGACAATAATTACTTCAACACAATCATTTCCAAACACCATTTCTTTTACTTTATGACCAGTTTTAATTTCTAGATTTTCTTTGGTTTGTAAATCCTTAACAATGGCATCAACAAATTCTTCAATTCCATTCTTAAATGAAAACAAGCTAATTCCAGATACAAAATTAAAGATATCTTTATTTTCTTCAACCATGTTATCATATAGCATTTTATCAAGCTCATCAGAAAACATTGTAGTATTAACTGAAGATTTTGTTAATCCTCTAATGATGGATCCATAATTTCTTTCCAATTCATACAATTTATTAAATGTAGATCTTATTGATAGCTTACTTACGTCACCTGCATAAATGCCATGTACTAAAGAACTCATCAAGACTTGGGAAGCAGTTGAACCAAGTCTTCTTGTAATAAATGTCTCGATACTTTCATCAGAAATTTCTTTAGATATCATAGGTATAAATGGCTCTTGTATTATTCCCATTATTATTTTCCACATGAATTTATTGGTTATTAATGTTTTAATGTGAGATAGCACTGATGAACTTGACAATTTGACAAGTTTGTCTGGATAATAAATGAATCTATTTATTGCTGATGGATCATATTTTGTTACTGAAAGTATTGATGATGTTAAATTTAATTTATTTGTCTAGAATTCAAGGTTTTTTTTTAGTTTTTATAAATTAATTAAAAATATGGTAAGTAAAAAAAATTTTATATATACACCATATCTAATATCAGTAAACCTCCTATTCCTGCAGGTCTAATAGTTCTTGGCCCTTGCTCAAAAAGTATTTGATGATTTCCAACTCTTTTGCTTTCTATCCATCCACCAAATCTATTTGATGCTTCTAATAATGTTATTTTTGTTGTTGAAGGTGCATAACGAGCTAAACACCATGCTGTAGTCAATCCGGATATACCTCCTCCAACAATAATATAATTTTTAAAAGACATTTTTATTTTATTTTGATGTAGTTTAGTTTGAATTGATTGGTTGTAAAATGTGACAAAATAGAATTTGAAACACAAAAAATAGTAATAAATAAAATACAAGAATAGTAAGATAATTATATGTTAACAACGACAATTATTAACTCTAAGTTAAGAAACTTGCATATTTAATTCAGATAAAACAATATGTATTACTTCTACAATTTCTTCAATGGCTACCAATTTTTTATCATCTAAACGCTGTAATAAGTGCTTTTGGATCTTAATATCATCACCACCATCATCTTTGACATAATCCATTTTCATATTATCATCATCATTGTCATCATTACCATCATCGTCATAGATTTCATTTTCTGTTATTAATTTCAAATCATCTTTTTTATCACAAGGATGAGTATGGACTTGTTTTATCGTTTCTCCTATATAATTCATTTCATCAATTTCCTCCTCAACCATAAGATCATTTCCAACTTCTTTCTTCTCTTCTACGTTGGTTACATATTTGGCCATTATTACTTCCTCACTTTTCTCACCACCGAGATAACTATCACTACCAGTACTTAACGGTGTAGTGGCAGTGGTAGGAGTATTAGTAGGAGTAGCAACTCCATAAAACCAATTTTCTCCGTGGATAAAGATTTTGCCAGCCTTTATAAGTTCTGGATGTTTTTCAATAATTCTAAATTGCTCTTGTTTTGAGAGTCGTAAAAATTGGGATACCATCTCTCCATCAATAACAAAATTTAATTTAGTGGCATTATGATCAGATCTAAATTTACTGTTATCGTTTCCTAAATTATGAAATAATGACGATTAATATTTTCTGTTATATTGTTATTATAGCTGAATGATAATTAGTTGTGTGAACTAATAAATAAAAGAAAAGAAAATGAATTTATTATTATTACCTAGGACAGGTCGTGTGGTTGGCCATTTTTCTAAAATTGTTTGTAAAACTCTTAATAATTTATATGATTTTAAATTTACTCTGACAAATAGAAATACACTTCCAAGTAATGAGCAACCAATTACAGCAGCAGAAGAACTAATAATATCCTTATCGATATCCCAACCATTATTGCCATTATTATCATCATGACCATTGTTGTTTTTGTTTTTTTCATAAAGGGGTGATAGTTGCTGATGAAATGACGATAGTGATGTAGTAGAATATGTGATATTATCCGATCGGTAACCTAAATAAACAACACGTAACCTTGATACAATTTCAGCTGTGTGGAAAGAAAATAATGGTGATATACATGACTCGATACTTGGATCATCTTTAATAATATGATAGATGATAAATGTGAATAAGTGTAATTGATTTCCGTAGATTGATTGATTAAATAATAATTAGAAGAAAGCAAACCTTCATTGTACAATAATCCAAATACATTTCCACATTTATCGGAACCAATGGCAAGATCTTCATTCAACATTATTGAATCTTTGATTAATCTTGACATTCTTTCACTTTTTTCATTCCGCACAAAAATTAAGTAGATCTTTTTTAGAAAAATTATGGTAAAGATAATAATGGTAATTACACATATAGACGTATGAGACTTACGCTTTCAAGAATGTGATGGATTCTCTTTCAACGTCAAATTCATAAAATGATAATGAACCTTTTTGAGTACCAACACAAATTCTTCTACCCTTTGCATTAATAGAAATTATAGGCCATCTCAATTCTTTACTTAAAACTTTTCTTATTCTATATAGATATATATAAAATAAATACATTCAGACATTAATTATTAATATTTTATTCATTAAAAAATTAAACATTTACTGACTTTTTTTCTTCATAATAAAATTTTAGCAGATTAAGCGTATTTCCAGACCCAATAAGCAAGTATCTAATAATAACAATAACATTTGGTTTTTAATTAATTGGTTTAAAATTCAATTGATGGATTAATTTCGAGTAAAATAATCATCACCTGTCATTTAAAGGGCACATAGAACATACAATTCCATTAACATTAGTTTGATTTATTTTCTTTAATTCATACTTTATACCATTTGATTCCTAATAAATAATAAATAATAAATTAAATAAATGAATAATTAAATAAAAGAACAATAAATTATTAATTAAATAATAAATTATACTTCTTTATTATTTAACAATATTTTTCTAATTTGAAATAAAATAAGTCTTCCGGTGTCTTGATTTTTATTATAATTTGATTGGTTATCATCATCATCATCATCATCATCATGTATTCCTGTTCCAACACAAATCCATCGAAATTCTTGTCTACCAGTCGTAGATTGCCAACCTAAATTATAATAATATCAATCTTAATATCTACCAAGATCATTCATTATGATCATTTTTATGAATCAGTCAATCAATCAATCAATTTAATTAATTACCTGTAATTGAATACACTGTTTGACATTTATTAGGATTATCTTGATCAAATAAAGAATATTCATAGATAATTTTGCCACTAATGTATATATTGGATACAGAGATTAATAATCGTACATTATAAATGATTTATTTAAGAATTCATCTATTTAGAAAATCACTTACTTTAGCGGATCAACAATTTTTAAGACAGAATTTGGAATTTCTTCAAAACTATTTGTACAAATTACAATAAATACTTTGTAATAATCATCAAAATATAATCTATTGGGTGTCTAATAATAAATAGAATAAATAATTATATCCACATATATAATTTTTTAATAGTTATTAGAGAATTATTTGATGTATATTTACATCTCCTACTGATATTGTTTTAATATTATTTCTGATGAAATTATTTAATTGCATAAAATAAAGGCAATCATTTGATATAAACATATAAGTTTGAGATAATTCTGATGAGTATTGAAAACAAGTTGCTACTTGGACCTATTAAATAATAAAAATATTTTGTGTTTATTAAATAATTGATAATAAATAATCAAAATATTATTTCTTACATGTTCATATTGTTCAAATGCAATACATGAAAAAGTTAATCCCATGTGATGAGAATGTTCAATTTGCCATGTCCTATCAGATAATGCCAATACAGTTGAAATATCGGTCTCCTCATTGACTATCATTATATTATTATTATTATTATTATTATTATTATCATTATTATTATTATTATTATTATTATTATTATTATTATTATTATTATTAATTGTTGGCATAATAAATTTAACAGGAAACGTTCCGATTCTTCTTACAATTGGACGTTGAAGTAATGGCTTATTATCAACTAAATCAGTCAATCAATCAATTAATCAAATAACATTTATAATTATAATAATAATAAAAAATCAACTTTTTATTATTATTATTGTTTAAACAGATTTTTTTAATACCTGTTGACCACGAAAATTTAAAATAAACAATTGTCCCTTCTCTAAGACCTATTATACATAACCAAAACTAAACTATTAATAAATATGTTTAAAAAAGAATCAAAAGAATTTTTATTTGTTACCTATTAAAAAGTATGCCTTTTCAAAGTTACCAATAATGCAAGCAGATTCTGGTATATTAACTTTATTAACAGAATAGTTTTCTAAAAATTAATTAATTAATATTATCAAACAATAATAATAGTAAAAACCAACACTTTGGTAATAAAATCATAATAATTGATTGATCGATTTACCTAAAGTCTCTTCATGCAATAAATTAAATATATTTTTATCGTCAATAGACAAAATTTTAATACATGGTTTAAAGGTTCCAATAATACAGATTGGAAAAGGAATAAGTTCACTAATTAATGAATAATAATAAAAACATTAATTAATTAATTATTCTCTAATTGTTGTTGTTATTTGTTAATTACCAAGGAGCAATACAATTAATAAAACATGGTTGACTATCCAATATATATTCTCCAATTTGAGTATAGCAAATACCATTTCTAATAAAGAAATAAATTTAATTATTATAAATGTGTTTTTTAAATAAAAAATTTAATCAACATATCAATAACTTACAAATCTTCTTTATTTTTATCGTAATTTACTTTAAGAGCAATTAATATACTTTTGCCGTCAGATGAAGATAAACTGCAAATAATGATTGATTGGTATACACTTGCAACTTCAATTATTGTATTCTCGGGTGGAATCCAACGTGAGATTAAATTCCCTTGTACTTTTCAAAGAAATAATTAATAATAATAATTATATCATTAATAGAGTAAAAAAAAGTTTGACAGAATAATCAACAATCAACTAAATATCTAGAAGATAACCTAAATTCTCAGATGGTGATGATTCCTCCTTCATCAAATCAAGATTTCGGCAAATTTTTATCATATTAACTGCATTTCTGTGAATCTGAATTAACCAGCCAGCTAAATCAATAAATTCTACTATACATAATGAACTACACTCTAAATCAAGTCCACTCCTATCACTTATACATTCCAATTCTCCATATTTTCCAATATACATAAGCCTTGTGGAGTTAGTAAATGACAATGCTAAAAATGAGTCTGTCAAATCATTTCTAGAATCATACTTCAAATTCCAAAGACAATTAACTCTAACCAAAAACAAAAAGTTTAAATAATTTTATATATTTAGACTTATATATTTTTTTTTTCCAAGTAAATAATATATAAAATGTTTAAGTACCCATTAAAATCAGGTTCTGTCTTGGTAATAACATTAACTCCTATTGCCCTACGTAATTCTCGAATAGATCCATGTTTACCATAACCACTACATGCCAAAATAACATCATGCCACTCATGATGAAAATCTAACATTTGGAAATCTAAAACAGGTGCCCAATTTGGTATCTTACATGTCATAGTTGCTTTAACTGTATAATTTGTTTTTTCAACCTATTAAAATTTTTTAATAATTATAACAATTGTTTATCTAAAAAATTCACCATTTATATGTTTATTTGATTAATTCTCACCAATACAACTGCGCCATCACTCATCTCACCACTTAAAATAACATAATCACTATCACCTGAATTAGAACTAATTGATGTCATTGCAATCCCAATTGGATTCAATGATGTTTTTGAATTGTTGATTGTTTTTGATGATGAAGTAGCTTTGATTTTAACATCAATATTAACAACATTAACATCATCATCATCATCATCATCATCATCAATTTTGTAAAGATTATGATCATTATCAGCATCATTGTCATCGTCATCATCCATCTTTACAATTGATATAAATGAAATAGAAGTTTTTGACATTATATCAATACGATATAATGAACCACACTCAAAACCTATATAAACATATTGTTTTACTGGTTTTAAATTATTATCACTATTCTCATCATCATCATCATCTTTGTTGCCAACATCATTATCATCAAAATTATTACCATCATCATCATTGTTGTTTTTACTAATAGTAGTCCAATTAGATAAAGAATCGTCATTCGTTGGAATTGTAAAAGATGTGACAAGAGCTAAACAAATAATTTATATTATTAATAATTTTAACGTTTAAAAATTGTACAAAAATAACTAGAACAATGGGTTGTAATTTAGTTTCTTACAATCAGCTATTGGCAATCGCTCCTTATAGAAATCAAGATTTCCAACTATTACTTCGTTAGCATTAAGAAAACAAACATCATTCTCCTAAAACGATCATATAAAATAAAAGCCGTTTTCGCATTAATTTGTAAATTATTGATAGTAATAAATGATTTTATAGATATAAGTGAATATATATACTAACATTTATTAATAAAAAGCATTCAGGATAATTAGGAAGAGGTATAAGATGTAAAGGAAGGGGAAAATCTTTCGGGAGAAAAGGTTTAGAAAATTTTTCAGTTGTTAAATAAATATTCATTGTTATTTGTGTTGATAAAAGCTTTTTTTATGTACAAATATATCTACTTTTTATATACCTTCTGATAATGGCAGCTTTGAATATGCTAAAATATTTTTCTCTGGTTCATCATTTGCCCAAAATTTATAAATAATCACATTTGCTTGCTTATAAATTTCACTGGAAATGTTTATATTGTAAAAATGAATGAATGAATGAATGAATGAATGAATTTAAACTTCAATTAATCAATCACATACCTGAAAACTATCATTGCCAGTAGGATATGTGACTCATCTGATGGATATAAAAAGTCCATCTGCCATATTACACCATATTGTGAATACTCCTTAGTCTGATAACATACATATACATACACATGATTGTATATATATATCATAAAATAATAAACAATAATGAATTCACCATTTCAAATTTATTAAATAAATGACGGATAATAATAATAAAATGGCAAGGAGAGTAATTAAAACAATAGAGATGATGATAATTGCCTTTTGGCCTATATCTTTTATAGGATCAATGGTTATTTCGTTCATTTTTGAAAAAGGTTGATTGTGATTATCTTGAATTGAAAACAGTTGAATTGTATCCTTCCAAGCTGAAACTGCTATCAAATGTCCACTTTATTTACATATAAAATAATGATTATTATTATTATTGAATATATAAGATATAAAACTGAGTAATAAATTTTTATCTTTCTGTATTACTTACAATGGATCTATACAGATTAATCTAGCAAGTTTTTGAAAATCGAAGCCTGGATCTGATAAACGTATCTATATAATCATTCCTCGTCATTAAAAAACATAAATAAGGAATAAAATAAAAAAAGCAAATAATAATAGTAAATGTTTTTCTTTACTTCTTTGATAGGTTGAAACCTTCCTGATTTTCTAGAATTTTCAGCATTAGAACCAATCATAGATGGTACATTTTTTCCTTTACCTTTATATCCACCACTATAACTATAACCATGACTACTGCTGTTATATTTCCTTTGATTATGATGATTATGATGATGTTGTTTTTGTTGACTATTATTGATACTATTAATTAAATAGTAAGGACATTCTGTATATACCAAAAATGATAAATAACCAGAATCGGACACACAAACTAAAACATCTTGACCTGGTATTACTCTTAAACATTGTTTTTTGTTTGATGATAATGATGATAATTCAAGTTCATGATAGACATTTCCACTTTCTGAATCAAAAAATAATAGTCCAGAAAATTTACATTTCAACACTTTTACATTTTTAACCGTACCAAATATTGGCTGTTCAAATAATGATACTAGTACACCTTCAGGAGTTAACTCTAATAACTCCAACACCGTTTCCTATGCAATAATTAATTAAATTTTAATTTCTTTAGTAATAATAATGAATTAAAGAACAAATTTTACATCGTTGACTCTCTCACCTTTACGAACAAAATATCCTTGCATTGATGACTTCTCAACGCACATGTAACCATTTGAGTTACGACGCAACTATTAACAGCAGTTTTTGCATAGACCCGAACTTTAGAATTTTCCAGCTCTGTTGATTTATCTACAAGGTCCAAATACGAAGAAGACATATTTTTCTTTTTTTTAATAATAATAATATGAACTGTTTATCACAGTCAACGGTGTTATCAAAAATTGATTATGATTGATAAATATTTTTGGTATAATCACATGATCTAAAATGTTGATCACTCCCAATAAATCGATCTATTACAGTCAGGATTATTCCCCGATTCTGGAAATTTCTGTCGATCAATTCATATAGTGATGCAAACGAATTAACGTGATACTTTCATTTATTTTTATCCCATTTATTTTTACACAAACCTCCATAATAATAATCGAAATAATACCTTCAAACTTTCTCTTTCATAATCTGTAGGAAATCTGTTATAATCTGTTAATTTGAAAAAAGTATGCTTTTATCCAAATTTGACAAATTTTTGTACAAAAGATTTGCTTTATTTTATTTTTAGTGAATAAAATATCAAGACCATTAGCCAGCACATTACCTTGCTTATTTGCTGAACTTGTTGACATATACTCAGAGTCATGACTTGAAATCATGTGAAATTAAAATTAATCAATCTTGGAGGTGAGCATCAGGAAAGGCAGTAATAGAACATGTACAACTTTTTACTAAGTATTGTGAGATTGTAAACCATGGACCAACCAATTGACTGTTGATATTGACCAGTTAGAACGAACTTACTACGGAAGTCATGTGATGCGCTAAATATTACATCATCATGATTAAGGGTAGAGTGTAGTCATGTGATTTTTCATAACAACTGAAAGGATAAATTTTTTACAGTGATGATCATTTTCTT